TTATAGATATTATATTGTGAATACAACTATTTGATTAATCAATTCAATTTAATAAAACTTTCATACAAAGAGAGAGAGAGAGAGAGAGAGAGATTGCATTGTCGCTAAATATATTCAACACAATTGACTGAAAACTTCTTTTAGAGATATTGTGAATGTATCTATTAAATCTATGATAATTTAATATAACTTTCATACGAGGGGAGAGAGAGAGAGAGAAATGAATTGAATTGTCCCTGAAATTTATGCTTCATACATTAATATTTTATATATTTATATCATGCTTAAGTATTTTCATCCCTCAGACATATTTTTAAAACGTTGATATCAAGTTTCTGCAAAAGAGAAAATTATAAAATTAATTTGTTCTCGTTGTTTCATGTTTTGTTTATTTGAGGCACGTGGAGGGATCTTATTCCCTGTTAGAATTATTCTCTGAATTTTGATTGTTACAAAATTGCATCTAGTAGTTTGGGAGTAATTTACATTGCATATGACAAAATATTCAGTTTTCATATCATGAGAGTTCTATTAGCCATCCGTGCAAGTAAAGAATTAGTTCAGACCATAAGGATTAAATGTCTAACGGTTCCGTAATAATACGATGAGAGAAACTCACCCCTTTTAGGCCGTCCGCTATTCATTGTTAACTCTCAGATGGTTATCCGTTCAAGAAAGCTAAAGAAGCTGATGCCCTATCAAAATTCATCTAAGAATTCTAGTCCTTGTTGCAAAACTGTATTGCATATTTGACACAATTTGAAATGGAAAATTGGGTTTCTAAAAGAGATAAATCAATATACGGTCATTTATTAGCACATGGTCTATTTGCAAATTTCAAAAACTTTTAAATGAGAGAGAGAGAGAATTTTTTCCGTGTTGATTTTTATAATTTACATTCAATATATGATGCTGGAAAATATTTTCATTTCAGTTTAAAATATATCGCTTCCAAGAAGAAATTCTGAATGAGTGTAAGTCAAAGGGACATTATCAAGTGGAGTTATCTTACTTGAGTAAGAGGTGACTTCAATTATGCAAATTTCAAAACCTTTTGTTGAGTCGAAGGCAAAATTTGTATAAAAGGACATCTTTGAAGGGTGGTGGTGGGTAAATTCCTCCGCTGTACAAGAAGAGATCTTGTGCTTCCTTGAGGGAAAAATCTGAACTGCAGTACAAAAAGGCCTCTTGTATTGCACTGCAGTGCCTTGCAATGTTCTTAACTGGAAGTTCTCTTGGAATTTCCTCAACATCAGTCTCACTACACAACGATAAAGTCAATGTGACTTGGTTTTTCATCACATGATGAATCGTGGTGCTGCAAATGAGTTTTGAACAAAAGCGACACGTGGAAAACAGTGCAAATAAAGAAATAAACCTCAAATTTTAATTGCAATCAACACAATGAACTGATGACCTCTTATAGATATTATATTGTGAATACAACTATTTGATTAATCAATTCAATTTAATAAAACTTTCATACAAAGAGAGAGAGAGAGAGAGAGAGATTGCATTGTTGCTAAATACATTCAACACAATTGACTGAAAACTTCTTTTAGAGATAGTGTGAATGTATCTATTAAATTTATAATAATTTAATAAAACTTTCATACAAGGGGGGGGGGGAGAGAGGGAGAAAGAGAGAGAGAGAAAGAAAGAAAAATGAATGGAATTGTTCCTGAAATTTATGCTTCAAACATTAATATTTTGTATCTATATCATGCTTAAGTATTTTCATCCCTCAGACATATTCTTAAAACGTTGATATCAAGTTTCTGCAAAAGAGCAAATTAAGAAATTAATATGTTCTCATTGTTTCATGTTTTGTTTATTTGAGGCAGAGAGGAGGGATCTTATTCCCTGTTAGAATTATTCTCGGAATTTTGATTGTTACAAAATTGCATCTAGTAGTTTGAGAGTAATTTACATTGCATATGACAAAATATTCAGTTTTCATATCATGAGAGTTCTATTAGCCATCCGTGCAAGTAAATATTTTGTTCAGACCATAAGGATTAAATGTCTAACGGTTCCGTAATAATACGATGAGAGAAACTCACCCCTTTTAGGCCGTCCGCTATTCATTGTTAACTCTCAGATGGTTATCCCTCAAGAAAGCTAAAGAAGCTGATGTCCTATCAAAATTCATCTAAGAATTATAGTCGTTGTTGCAAAACTGCATTGAATTTTTGTCACAATTTGAATGGAAATAAGAGAACGGTCATTTATTAGCACAGGGTCTATTTGGGTTAAAAATGGCATTAAATATGATGTGGATTTCGACCAATTCTGTATGCGTGTAAGTCAAAGGGACATTATTAAGTTGAGTTATCTTACTTGAGTAAGAGGTGACTTCAATTATGCAAATTTCAAAACCTTTTGTTGAGTCGAAGGCAAAATTTGTATAAAAGGACATCTTTGAAGGTGGTGGTGGGTAAATTCCTCCGCTGTACAAGAAGAGATCTTGTGCTTCCTTGAGGGAAAAATCTGAACTGCAGTACAAAAAGGCATCTTGTATTGCACTGCAGTGCCTTGCAATGTTCCTAAATAGAAGTTCTCTTGGAATTTCCTTAACATCAGTCTCACTACACAACGATAAAGTCAATGTGACTTGGTTTTTCATCACATGATGAATCGTGGCCCTGCAAATGAGTTTTGAACAAAAGCGACACGTGCAAAACAGTGCAAATAAAGAAATAAACCTCAAATTTTAATTGCAATCAACACAATGAACTGATGACCTCTTATAGATATTATATTGTGAATACAACTATTTGATAGAGAGAGAGAGATTGCATTGTAGCTAAATTCATTCAACACAACTGACTGAAAACTTCTTTTAGAGATATTGTGAATGTGTCTATTAAATTTATAATAATTTGATGAAACTTTCATACAAGGGGAGGGAGAGACAGACAGAGAGAGAGAGAATAAAGAAATGTTTTAGCCCAATTAGATCAATTTTACCATTAGATATTAGTTGGAGAAATATTGTGTGTTGGTTTTAGTCATGGTATCAACCAAAATACTTTTGTTTTGAATAATGTCTTATCATTTATTGCTTGTAAAATATTTAAATATAAAATGAAATGTAGAATTATGAAAAATAACATTACAAGTGAAGATATGTTAATTTTTTTGAAAAATACTCTCATGAAATTCTATCTTGTGACTAAACGATCCCAAAGCATCTCATACAATTTTCACATTTTGAGATCTTTGGCATCAAACTTGTAATTATTATTATTATATAATCTATATATATGAAGTATATGAGGGTGACCTGGCCCTCTATACATGTTGCTCAGGGGTGTGTTGGACAGTGTTTTGTGTGTTCCCCTAGCAACATAAAGGTATCATCTTCTATCCATATCTGTACTTTATCAATATACAAATTGATTAATATATATACTACATTGATTTAAATATGTTACATCTGTCAAATACATGTTTTTACTATCCAAACTAGGGAGCCCCTGGCACCCCTAGTGAGGATTATTATAGGGGGACATCTGCGGATGTCATTGCCCCAAAGTTGTATTGTTATCATGTTTTCATTGAATAAAGTATTATTAATAAAAAAAAAAAGATCAATTTTACTATATATAGATACATTCAGTTCTGTATTGTTCAATACTACCAGTATTATACTTTTATGTAAATAAGTTGAATCTGATTCAATCGATCTCGCTGAATGATGAAGCCAAGCCTTCAAACGTAGCAACAGTCAATAATATTGCTTGACGACGGGTAATATTTCAAAAAATAGTTACTGTGCAGAATTCATGCGTGCAAGGTTCAATTCTCTATAAATTTGTATAAAAAAATTTGTGTAATATTTTAAATATTGCATGTAGTTGAGTTTAATTAATGCTGAAAAATTTTAACCCCTATAAGAATATTTTCGACCTCAGCTGCACCTGCATTGATAATTTGATACACTCAAGTACATGCAATATTTGGATTTTTTTTTTCATAATTAGAGTATTAGTGACCTCGACCGTGGAGCATCACTAAAATATTTCAATATTTTATCAAATGAAAAAAAAATAAGTGCTAGTGACCATAAAATTTGACTTAGGGCTTAAACAAAACACATCTTCCTCTTTCAGAAAAATTACAATGTTTAAAACCAGTGTCAGATATACAGAAAGACAGGACCAAATTAGCTTTTTTCTAGAAAGGAAAGCAGTTACAATGTATTTTCTTTCTTGACCTATTCGAGTCTTTTTTACATACACTTCGTTATGTCATACATATAGCAACAAATGATATCATTGTAACAGTTAGATCCTTTTGTCTGAGGGATAATTTTATGTATATTATTCTAGGGCTTCCGCTTAAGATTGGTTTGTCTAGACCATTATGCTGTAACCAGAAATAATAACAGAAAACATATTTCATGAAATGATTGATCCTTTTTAAATGTTCAGCATTAAGCAATAGATGTAAACATAAAGGTCCAATATCAAATACCAAACTTTAACCCTGGCCATAACTTTTGAATAGTTAGTGCTAGGGTTTTCCTACTTTACATTTATTGTGACTAGGCCTTCCTTGGATTTCTGACCTATTGACCCTAAACTTAGTGATTGACCCACTTTAAAAAAAACCTTAACAAGTCATACACATGTAAAGCATGAAAACCTTAAACTGTAATTAATCTTTGGATACCTACAATTTTGACTTTGGGGTTTGACTTACTTTTTAATATAAACTTAAAACATTGGCCAACGGTGCTTTGGCTTTCATAATTCGCATGTTTGTTCATTGAGACAATTCCTATATCATCTGTTGACCTTCACCTTGGAGATTTATCTTAACTCCTCTTATACCACTGAATGAAATTTCATGAGACTTTATATCCCCTTCTTGAAAAGTCAGAGGGTAAATAATGATCAGGGTGTATGCATCACATCCTGGATAGATCCTAGTGCCATACTTCACATACAGAAATTAGGAAGGGGTGTTTGAAATAAAAATGTTAATTGAACAAATGTATTTTAAAAATATTGTTTATTTGTACAGAATAGTCAAATCATGTAAAACTGGCAACATTAATATGGTTAAATTACCCAGGGTAATGTAAATGATATATAGTGGTATAGGCACCATCACAAGACTTAGATTGTTCTTATAATGATCACCATTAAAAAAGAACTTTTTTAATCTGTAAGCTCTCTCAGATTTGATATGGGTTATACTAGAAGATCAAGTAGTGATTTCATGTCAACAAACAGCTGAATGAGATTTTCCCTGTCCCTTTGTCTGAGAAAGTTATAGGTACTACTTTGCTTCACATAAAGTGGTGTACCATGCAAAGATCCACTTTTTAGTTGTTCAAACCTGTTCTCTCCTACACTCATTGAAGAAAAGGTTACCTAAAATAAAATATAACATAAAAGTGAAAACTATATCAATTTATTTATTGAGAATTAAGACGAGAACAAAAGTTAGTGGTTTCATTGTGCAGGATTAAAACTAGTACTGGTACTTCTTGATCCGAATTGAAAGTCTAAATTTTACATAAAGCATAAAAAATACTTCATGTCTAACAGAATGCTTGTACATATTTTCACTTTCATAAATATACATGTAATTCCTTTATTTTACATTTTCTCACTTTACTTGTTATGAATATGAAAAAAAACAACATTTTCTATTGTTTAACCTATGTTTCCTGGATTATCCCAAATCTTAATTGAAACTCCTTAGTCAATGTGAATTATCAATTCAAAGATTCTTACAAAAGCAACATGACTTTATTTCATATAGTAATAACAGTATGACTTAACTAAAGCTGAATTGATATCATACCTCAGTTCCTTGAATAATTATTCCATATGTACCATTTAGACCAAAAACTGACTCAGGCAATGCTGCTAACATATCCCCCACAAGTTGGCCCTTTGAATTCGAGTCACTGGGTTCATGCTCTTTTGTGGTATTTTGCAAATTTTCTCCTAATTCTCTGTCATAAGTCTTGCCATATTTGTTTACCTAAATTAAAGGTGTGTGAACAATGATAGTTTATTCATCCGCTTGATATGCAATTAAAGAAAAGATTCTTTCAACATTTTTTTTTACTTTTTAAAACATTTGTATATTAAAAAAAAACAAGTTCTTTTTGGACAATTGTATTGAATAATGTTATGATTTACTGTTTACAACTTGCCTCAATTACAGCTAACACTTTTTCACTTGAAGGAGATGACTTGGTAGTTTTACAAATAAGTGCATCTGGAGTTGATTTAATGGTCTTTTCACCAATAGCTACAACTGAAGTTGTCTTTTTGTAGTTTGAACATTGCCTGGAAAAAAGTTTTCAAAATGTCAGATGATTGTCAGCTTTTTAAAATACTTAATTAAAGGCATAGTTGATGGTCTTTATAAGATATTTAAGCTTCAAAGTTAAAAGTTTATTTTTTTTAAAAATCATTTTGTTTATTTTGCATCATGAAAAATAGGAGAGAGTCTAAGAGACAAATTATAATAAACTTACCTCACTTTCAAACCAAAAATTCTCAGAAACAGCCTAAACAGTTCCCCATACATTTCATTTGTTGTTTCCATTTCCCCACACTGTAACATGTACAATAACTGGTCACAGAAGTCTTTTACCCGTATGTGAATACTGTAATCAAAAAAATTGATAATGGCATAGTCAAATGTAAAACATACATTCAAACCTAATGTGAGCTCAACTGTGTCTTAAATTGATCTCAATCATGTTCTATAAGGCCTATATGAAAAGTAAAAACTTTGAGATACATGTATTTGGGATTTATATTGAGGGTAAAAATAAAATGTAAAGAAGAAGTCATTTAGGACTTAAAATTGACTTTGACATTTCCATGCTAAACCAATTCATTGATGTTTGAAATACTGAATTAGTTCAACTCTTTTATGAATAAATAAATGAAAAAAAATTGTGTTATATATAAAGAACAGATTAGAGAGTTTTAGCATCCTTTTATTTGACAATACTACAAAACTTTACCTTCTACATGTGTCCATTATGTAGTCTTTTATAGTGTCACTTTTTCCAACTGAAAACGATTCCAACCATTTACAAAATTTTGAATGTCTAAATGGCTTTTCTAGCTCCATAATCAATCTTTCAATGTGTTCAGATGATATATCAAAAATGGTATTATTGTCAATTGTAAGAAAATCCGTACAAGCAAACAAGCAACATTCATAATATGCTCGTATCTGCGGATTCCTGGATGCATATAGTTTTTCAACAACCTTTGAAACAGGATGGACTGAATCGTTTTTAAGAAATTCTGTGTATCCATAGGTCATAACTCCAATGGCTGACAGAGGAGAACTGTCAATTTCTATGTTTAGTTGCGATAAATGAATTTTTCTCCAGTCTCTTGTTCTAGATGGTATTTGTTGATTAAATGGTAAATATCTCTCTGCCTGTGTCGATGAACATGCATCATTCTGACGTGAATCTTCTTCCAGCCTCTGTCTTTTTCTTGGAGATTCAGCTATTGTTTCATCCAAATTAGACATCTCTGTGCTTTAAAATTTCGAAGAATATCTCTGACTTATACGTCTAAACCTTTTAACCCTGTCTGAATTAGTAACAAAGATGAATATTTCACACTACTACCCGTCTTTGCGGCAAATAAAGATAAAGCGAAAGTGAAACTTTACTGGTGCCCTAACAAGGACTAGCACACAGCTGATGGCGTAGAAAGACTCAAAAGAAACCAAAAAAGAACTAAAAATAATAATTTAATGTATAAAAAACTTAATTGGGTATTTAATTATCTTAAAGTACAATAATATGCGATATATTGTGTAAATATGCTGCAAATTTTTATAAACATTACCATGATTTTTTTTTAAATACTAGTTTTGTTTCTGATCCACTTTGAGAAAGCACCAACCTCTCTCCTTCTTAGATTTTTAATAATACAAAATAAAGGGGGGGGGGGGGGGAATGAGTTTCTAGCATATCAGACCGAAATTTTCTTTACTCTCTGACGGTGAATATATATTTTCACAGAAAAAGGTTTGAGAGATCCTCTCTTTATAGTAGAAAAAGATTATTTAGTAAAAAAAAGGGGGGGGGGTATGGGGTTAATACATGATATAGTTAATCATTATATAGATACTTGGTTCATAAAAAAACTAAGCCCAGGTCAAAAATAGAAAAGAGCGGGTCCAGATGGGGTCCATTTGCTGGAATAATGTAGCCCTCCCCCCTTTTTTTTTGGGGGGGGGGGGCATCAGAAAAATCGGAGAGGGCTACATTATTGCAGCTAGGGGTCCATGGAATTCAGACATCCTTTTTATTGCGAACAATTTAAGAACACTTAAATTACACTTGTCAGCTGTAAGAGAATTATAAACAACCAGAGGTTCTGTGCGCAATGAGCTCAATAAAATGATAGCCCCTCCCTTGTGGTTATAATGGCAAAGTCCATGTTTTGCTCAAGGAGACCCGAAATAAGTTTCAAATCAAAAAGTAAGATAGAAGGTCACAATGGCATTATATAATAAAAAATCTTTTATAGGATCATTAAATTTTATTCAGTGGTATAAGAGGAGTTGCGGATAAGGGATGGGTACCATTCAATGTGACAAAAAGAATGGTCTTCTCCATGTTATGCTCTAGGCTATAAAAAAACTAAACATGTTTCGGAGGTGCATATGGTATTATGGAACAAAGATTTTAAGAAAGTTTCATCAAATTTCATTGAGTCGTAAAAGAGGAGAACCGGATAAGAGATTGGTACCCCAAAGCATAGCCTGGATATAGAGTATCTGAAACATAATCCTCCATCGTGTTCATGTTCTTCTTCGCCCTATAACTATAGTCCTGCAGGACACGTTATTACACGTGACGTAAATATAGTTAATAATGAAGAGCTTAGATCACTTATTTTAAAAGGTCCTAAATATAGGGAACCCCGGTCCTTCAACTGGCGTCGAAATTTCATAAATATTATGGATTCTGTTGAAGATTGCGCCAGATGATTGGCCAGATATGAAAAAGAAGACGTTGACACGTTGTCAGAATGGATAAAATGTATCAGATCCATGTTGAAACTCGCGTATTAAAAGATTGAGGGGCAATATGAAAACCATCTATCCTTCTGTATTCAATAATTCAGTTTTGAATATTTTTAATATCCTGAAGAACCAAAATGAATTTGAACTACCATATATTTACTAGTATATTGGATTCCGAAACTTCATAAGAATCCTTACAAACAAAGATACATTGCGAGTTCCAGTAAATGTTCAACCAAGCCTCTTTCTTTACTCCTCACTAAGATATTGACAGTAGTGAACTTCACTACTGAAGGAAAAACTTCAAGAGCACTGTGCAACAATATATTCAAGAAGTGGTGTGAATCAGACTGGA